TTTGTCCCAATTCCAACACTCTCGCTTCTGTTAAACTCGTGTTACATGACGCGAAACAAGAGTGACCATTTGCTTTGACAAGTAAGCCTGGATACAAAATTAATTGAGGCCAGAAATAAGCAGCCGTGAGACAGTCAATGATAAGCATGCAAATGACATCAGAGATGCTCGCTTTGGCGTCTTTGAATGCTGGAGTTGGCGTCTTTGGCCTGAATGCTTCCAGTCACCCAGTTTGCACTGACTTTCCTTCCTGTCGGGTTTAGTGGCAGCGCTGTGGCATGGAATTGTTGTGCGTCAGCACTAATCCTTAATAGTTGGAATCATTTTGTGTGGACGAACGTTTTTGACTGTTCTGTTCAAATACGCACAACACGGAGGTCACGGCAGGTGACCTACCTGCAGACGACGCTCCGCAACTCTGAAACCAGAATTAGGGATTGCAACGACAAAATGGTTTTCCACGACATGCACAGTTTAATCCCCTTAATGCTCCATTTTTTGCTTAAAAAATAAAAGTGACACATTAATTACTAGAACCTTCCTCTCTGTCCAACATAGCCAATTCTGCAAATATTGACGTAGACGAGGAGTTCCTGAATGCACAATTGCATCTGGACCATGCAGGCTAGTTGCACTGACGTGGCAAATCGCGTTAAGACAGAAAGACGTACTTGGAGAAGAGACAGGTGAAAATGGGGACGTAGATGAGGAGTTCCTGGGGCAGGTCGGAGATGTTGGCGAGGGCGTGGAAGTAAGTCAAGCCGTTGGTTGGCGCCTGATTCAGCTGCAACGGCGACTCGCCCACTGCACGACACACAGAGAAACAAACTAATTAGCGCAAACTATGGACACCGAAGTGGCCGGGGCAAATAAGCAACTCACTCTGGGTTTCTGTGAAGGGCTCGGGACGGCACTTGGGAGGGATGTCGACGAGACTCAGGCACGGCAGACACGAGAGGTCTTCCTCTTGCTTTTGTTTCGCTGCCAACTCGCGACCTGGTGTTAAACAACGATGGTCATCCTCTGACTATAAATAATGCTCTGGGTGCGTATCTCCGCATACCAAGTTTGGCGGACTAGGGACTTTATTTGAAACCAAAATGCAATATTTTCGTGAAAGTTTGTCTTCCTCTAATCACTCCCTACCACTCGTGTAAGGTTGCGCTGACTCACTATGTGTCTAGGTAGTCGTCAGTCGGTCATATGACCTTACACGAAACACCAGCGCTGACATCTAGGTAAATCGGACGCGACATTTTGTTAACCAGGCAATACCGAGGTGGTCGTCGCTGCTTGAAGCCCAAGTTACCTTCTAGACGCTTCGCCTGAGGCGCTGAAACTACTTTTAATATGTCATCTCACAGTCTAGCGAACACGACAGTTAAACGAAGCAGGTTTGAACTCACACAGCCTGACAACCTCGGCTCTGCCTTCCTCGGTCATCTGGCCGACAGCCTTGGCCACTCGTTCGGCCTCCTTAGCCGTTTGGACGGCCGCGAATTTGTCGTCCGGCAGCATAATGACGGTGAGGCGATGCGGATTCGCGACCAGGTAGCGGGAGATGAGGTTCTGGAGGAAGGCAGGGTCTGCCGCAAGGTCCTCCTTGAATCGGCTAATCAGCTGCTTCATGGCGAGGCAGGTGAGCACGTCGCCACCGTGGTTGACGACCGACGACAGGGCCAAAATGAGCTGCAGACCGAAACGGGCACAGTCCTCGCGAATCGCGATTTCGTGCTGGTGCAGGACGGCGTCCACGCGTTCCTACAAATGCGCACGAGCATGCTTAGCAAACACACACACACACACACACACAAGGAGGCAGGTCAAAAATGGTGAACGGAGTGAAGACGTACTTGGGGAAATCCCGTCTTGACGGTGTTTGCGAGAATGTCCATAATTGTCCTATCGATTTTCTCCACATCCTCCGGACGCACGCCCTGGAGGCCAACGTGGAAACAAATAGTGCGGAGATTTCGGTCCATTCCGTGCACCGGACAAGTCCAATCAAGACCCAAGCCGGATTCAATGAGACCTCGGTACAGGGGTGCACTATCTCCGTCTGTCAGGAGCATCAGGGCGATAGAGAGAGCAAAGTTGGTGTAGATTTCGCGGATGCTACAGCGATGTGGGAGGCAAGAAAAGAAGTGAGGCAGTGAGTTGCGGTGTCAAGGCACACGGGTTCTATAGATGGTCACAGAAGACAATTTTGGCAAATACAACGAGGTGATCAAACTAGGCGATCACATAGGAATGACCCGCAGTACACCCTTCATGTCCCAGCATGAGATACACAGGAGAACCACCTGCGTCGTCGAGTGGATGTTCTGTTTCGGCGTCCATGTACTGGGTTGACCGGGATCGATCCACAACACCGTTTAACGTTTGCTATTCGAGTAAAATATATACCTTTCACTAAACCGCCACAATTTCCCACAAGAAGTCCTTTATTGTTGCCGGTGGGAAGGCAGTGAAAGGCGCGGGTTAAGAGGTTGACCTAGGTTGTGTTCGGTCAGCATATGTGGGGCGACCCACCCAATTTTCAAGTTTTTACATTTTTCCCACTTGGTGGCGCGAACACTTGGAAGTAGGGATCTAGATGATTCCTGACTGAGATGCTGCAAGCTCAGATTGAGTTTGTGCTGAGTCCTCTAATCCAGTAGAGCTTGCGATTCCGCATCATCCAACTTTCGAGGCTGCTGTCCGTGGGCGCGGCTGGTCACTAAGATTGAAATCACCACTTCTACCACGATTGTACCAATACTTTCACGTTCCATAAGGCACAACTTCGGCAGCACCAAAAACACCACAAATTAAATTGGCCCGTGGTGTAGAAGCAGCCTTCTAGTCTTGTTGGAATCCTGATAGAACGCAGTGCCATTGAATGTGCTGCTTATCAGTTACCACCGCCATAAACTCTGCTATTCAGAGAGGTAATGTATTTCACGTAGACTTGTGGTTCGGTGTTGTAAAAACTTACGTGCGATCTATTCAAAATCACAAAAGATTTGAACATAAGTTTAAACTGAACGAAAAAATTTTGTACAAATTAAGTCATGGACCTAATATTAGATGATTCAACGCAGCTGTGTTAGCTCAGACGCAAACGAAGGACCTGGACAAACGGCCATATGCTCAAAGTTATCCACATAACCAGTTCAGGAGCTGAGAGGGAGAGAGAGAGAGGTTACTGGAAGGGGTGTTTGGGCACGCGTGGCTTAAGATGACACAAGAGAGTTGGCACAATCCTTTGTCTTCATGCACAGCCTCAACACACCACCTCGTTGGGAATCGAACCATCGACTCGACGGAGCAGGGACCAACAACCTTGCTAGGTGCCACAGAAGGCACGATGGAGTCAAGTCGTAATCTGGAGAGTCAAAGGCACTGCGCGGTTCCTGATTGTGTTGGCAAAGCGACAAGCCTCACGTGTACCCGCTTTGCAGAGTGTGGATCACAAAAATATCGCGAATACCCATTCATTGTAGTGAATAAACCAAAGTCAAGTGCGCATTTCCCAGCCGTCGTTTTATAGCCGAGGTTTCACCCACGTGAATTGTGAAGGTTGGGTAAAAAGAACAGTTTTGACAGCTAGTAATCACCACCAGAGCACAGGCTGGCTAGTTTGCCCTTCATAGTGAACAGTGAAGGAGAAAACAGCTTAGCTAATGCAGGATGCAACCGCTGCGCCTTACGGTTCAAGTAGAACGCTTAGTCAGCTTGGTGGAGACGGGACGGGAGAAGAGGGGGGGGGCCAGATAAGGAAAAGGCAGACTCACTCGGTGAGAGCGAAGCTAAGCGACACGACGCCAGTCCGCGAAGGATCGGCCAGTGTGGGGTCGGGCTGGCAAGTCAAACGGACCACCCGCTGAAGAGAGAGAGAAAGAGTAGAATGCGAGTCAGTGCACAGTGTGAATTTGGGACAATTCAGTGGCAGCATCAACAGAAGCTAGATGTTTTTTCGTTGGTTTAAGGCTAATAACAAGCTCCACTGTGAACGCGGTGTGAGTGTGTAGGGGGTGAGACCGTCTTACCCACGATTGATGGATAAACCAGTGCCATCATTACGAAAGGGTTTCCAAACCTCCGAAATAAGTGGAAGTCTGGTGGCGCAGTCAGAGGTACCTGTATTTTCCACTGCCTGATACAGAGCTATCATCTCCTCCAAACCAAGCTCCAGCATGTTTCCACGAGTTACTATGGTTCGCTTGTTTGAACACTTTCATTGTTTGATGATAGCGAACATCTGAATCGATTACCCGGTTTGATGAAGCAGTTCAAAGTACACAACGCCTTTTTAATCCCACCCAAATGACAGTGTGAGTGTTTTTCAAAAGTAATCCAATAATTCACCACAAATTTCAATTGCTACTCTTGTAGACGACTCATTCCTCATCACTAGTGATGGATCTTTCGATAAAAAGGAACAACGCCGTCGTTGTATCAAGTGAAGTTGTCTCACTGTGTGCGTGTGTGTGTGTGGATGTGTGCATGATGCATTCAACGAAATTCCTAGCAGTCAAATGACCACGAGTAGATTCAATTATGGCATTGACATCTTCATCAGCTTGAGTAGGTGCACCACCACGTTGGTCACCTTCGAGTACCAATTCTCACAACGCACGGTCAAGCAATTTCTAACACGTGAGTCATACAATTTGCGCTCTTTGTGAGCATAGAAATTTTCATGACGGGAATATACCAATGAAATGTGCCGGAACGGTTAAATGTGACCCTAACATAACTGCTATAAGTCAAGTCACAAGAAAACCAAAGCGAAATCTACAAAGGGCTTAATGTAACGGCTACGTTTTTGAGGGCGTTTCCAAAAAAAACTTTACACGCGTACGGATTTATTTTCGGGGCAAAATGAGGCCTGACGATTCTAATTGGCCCGCCTGGATTGACAACGCGACAGCCGACGCCTGGTAGGCATTGTATTTTGCGCGACCAGTGGGATCATTTGCCCTGGCGTTGTGGTGATGTGTAGCAAGTAGCAAATAAGGTGAAAAATATAGTTAAAAAAGAAACCGGCGCGTACCGGCTCTGTCCACTTGGGTTCCAGGACAACCTGTGGTGAGGGATCCTGGGCAGTGAATTTCCCCAAACACTCAGAATCCAGGTACTGGAGACAGTCGTCCAAGTCAACGTTGCCGTAGGTGTAGATGCTGAAAGTAGGCGAGACACGAGGTCACAAATAACAAAAAGAACTTTCCAATTTCAAACGCACGGAGGCCTAGTGGCAAAGCTGTGCTGTCGTTAGAGAGACAACAAACGTATCTTTGAGACGCAAGGTGCTTACTTGGCATTACTCGGATGGTAGAAGTCGCTGTGGAATTTCTTCAGGGCCTCCCAAGACAGGGATGGAATGGCATCAGGGTGACCGCCGCTTACGTGACCATAGCTCATTGGGAGAAGGTTGTTTTCCACTGCCTGATGCAGAAGGTTCAGCGAGTTGGACTAAAATAAAAGGCGACTGAGAAGAAAACACGCAAATTTTACACAGCACTTATGTCCAACGGGTGGAGTAAGATTATAAGACGCATGAGCATTTAACAGGGACGTGTAACCAACTTACGAAAACTCCCTTCATTTCGTTATATACGACTCCCTTGATAACCAGTTTGGAGGACTCATCATCTAGGTTTTCAGGTTCCAATCTCCAGCCTTCTTGCCTAAATTCAGCTTGAGTGAGGTGTGATGGTGTGACTCACATAAAGTCCAGCTTATTCAGCCTTGGGAAAAACGCGGCATCAACATAGACGCCTAAGAGATTTTGGAAGTCGACAGAATTCATTGTGCTGAATGGATACATGGTCCAGTCACTAGCTAAAATAACGAGGCGGTTAGACTTAACAACTGGACACCTGTGTATGCATTCATAAAAGTTGCCTGACTACGGCGAAGCATCTTGAAAAATGGATCGCGAATGGGGTATTTCTCTGAACCACAGAGAGCAGTGTGCTCGAGAATATGGGAGACACCAGAGTTGTCGAACGGCGTAGTCCTAAACTGTACGCTAAATATGAAAAAAAGGACTTTAAGAGTGAACTACCGAACTATGAATAGCTGTCACAAATTGAGAATTCAAGTCCCGTGAGTTCGAAGATGTGAACCCTGTGGTCCATGTTGGACGGGAGTGTATCAATAAAACCTAAGCAAGATATTTTAGACCAATGCTTATCATTTTCGCTCACATATCGCACAATTGAAAACGACTTGAGAGGACAAAATATTGACCATATTTTGTACAAAATACGATATCAGATGAGGAGATACCCTTTCCAACGATAATTCGAGGTAAAATTAAAACCAATCTCAGGTTTGCGGTCGAGTAATATTACAAAAGAAGTAGTTTTGATTTGGCGAGGGAACTAAAAAAATTAAATTATTCAATATTTTGTTCGAAAGTACACGTGCGATTGAATTTGATGCCACAAACCAACACTGCTACTTTAAGATGTCGGAACGAACCACAGAACTTGAAAGCGCGTACAAGTATTAGCATTAGATTATATAAGTTATGAGAAGTCTCACCAAAGAATTAATCGTCACTTCATGTCTTTTATTTACAAAATATCAAGTCACCGATCGGAAAGAGCAATTAGATCATCTAGTAGGAGCGATTCAGTACCAGCTGACTAAACCATGTGTGTTGAACTAACAGATGGTCACAACCGATAATTTGTTTGTCGAACAAGGCGAAGCACTAGATATACAGTAAATTCTTTTAAATAATCATGCCTTACTCACCTGAAAGTCCGGTTTGGGTCATCACGATTAAGGTGGATTAAATTTGCGCCGGATTTTTCATGATGCATTTGTACAACATTAAGCCGGAATTCATCAATATTAAACACCTAAAAATTTAAATACGCAATATAAATTTACCCGCGTGATCTTAAAACCACGGAGAACACTTCCATTATTTAAAGCCCGAACTTTCTCCAACATCACCTAGCAGGCAAAAAACACCAGGTGAGCTTGTTCAAATACCTGCCAGCGGTTTCAACCCATATAAACCACACTTGTTAATCCATAATCCGACTCTTTTCCGACGCAAGGCTTAAATAATTCACTTACACATTTATTCTTTCTTATTTTAACGTAATTGTTTACGTTACTTTAATATGCCCTTGTGACCCACGTGGACAGTTGTCCACGGATGCCCACGAATGTTTTATCACAAACTATTACAGGTTTCATTAAAGCGGTCGGTTCAACTACTTTCGGTCCTATTCTTACCTGGTTATCCGCGTCATGTAGTTTAACCTAAAGTACGTAATAATTATGATTCAGGATCAAGAGACCGGGGGTCCTGGACTTTTTAATCCGGTGCTGAATACTTGACGTAATCTGAAACCCCTGGTACTTAATAACTAAAGATTTAAATTTAGTCTTTAAAAATCATCAGTCTGTTTCATTGTCTGAGGGAATTTCCCAATGTGAATTATTATTTCTAATATAAGATGCTATTAATATATAAATGCATCGTTTCCTGCAAGAAGAGCACTTTTTAATGGCCTCTAAACAAGAAATCGAGAAATAATATTTTCAGCTCACTTAGCGCAATAAATTATTTTCGTCTCCTATTAAACAGGCTAGAAGTGAGGATACACCAATTACCGTCATCTTTATACAAGATTTTGCGGATGAATAGATTTTAAACTAAATTATCGAACAAATTTATGTTTAAGGAATGAAGAACCACCTCTAAAATGCCTGCTTTTAAATTGTAATTAGCATTTTATAGCATCAGAAATTGAGAGCCTACCAGTTTCCACACGGTCGTAACGGTTTATTTTATAACTTTACTTAAATTTTGCAAGTCAAAATCAAATCATACATAAGCCACTTTACTAAGCGACATGGTCGCAGTGAAATAAAATCTAGAATTTACCGGTGGCTTTGTTGTGCAAGTTTGCTTGAATCCGGATTTAATACCTCTTGCACCCATTATTGGTGATAATACTACTTGCAAGTGTAAAGGAGCCACTTGTGTCAGTAATGCAAAATAAACCCTCCTAATCGTTTATAAAAACACATTGTAAATTGTATATCTACCTAGAAAAGCTCACATTTTTGGTAACTTTAAAGGAAGACCTGACATTTAACATGACAGTTCTGATTCTCAAACTACGATTTACAAGAGTAGATATTAAAACTACTTTTCTCTACATTGCTTCATTGATAATTCAAAATTGTTTTGTTTATGCCCTGTATAAAGCCGGTGTGCTGCTTATTTTGTGTAATAAGTCAAGTCGGTAATTTATTTACGTTCAAACAATCTTACTGCCCTCAATGTTGGGCACCGAAGAATGTCAGAATCCAGATTCTAAGTGCTGAATGACAGTAACCTACATGTGACAGATCCGCAAGATTTGTTGAGATAGTGATATTTTTAACGCAAATACAGATGTCCGTATATGGTGAATTCACAAATTATTTCGAATTATTATTAATTACGTGGATTCAAATTCAGTAAAGTGACATTAATCATTTAAATGCGGCATTTGGATATTTGAATTTTTCGTAATAGGACAGCTCCGGGTTATTTTATGGCCATATAAAAGGAATCAACGTTATCGACCGTAACTCATTAAAAGCTATTTGATTTTAATAAGGCTCTCTCGGTTCCAGGCTAGTGCCCTTTTTGCCACTGTTTCTGGTTGGATCATACTGAATGGATCGACTCAAAGTCGGATCGGGTCCCCAAAATGGTGTAATTTAGTGTAGATGTCAAAGCAACAGAACAGGCTTTATTGACCAATCACAAGCCAGGACCACACGTCAGGCGCCGTCAATCCGAGTCCACTACACTGGCCACGCCGGTCAATATATACTGCTCCTCATTCGTGTCTTTCTCTGGTTGGCTGCATATCTTCCTCGCATGCCATTGGAACGCAGAGAGACAGAGGATTGCCTGAGGCCAGCTTGGTCGAATATGTCTGCGCCCTAATACGTCGCCACAGTCAAGGCAGGTGACCATCGGAGTTGGTGTTAGTTCAGTTCCAAGGGGCTACTGATCCATTGTTCATTCGGTTCATTCCGTATGTTGAGCCCCCCTTCTGCTGAAGAGCTATTTCAGGTACAGCTATCAATCGCACGCACAAAATCGATTTATTTCATCATGGACACATAGAAAGCATATAAGGAATAGGCTACTAGAATTCAAAGTATGTGATGATTCTAATTCAGGACGTGTGAATGAATTGATCTCCCTGTGGTTGCTAAATAAGTAATCAAAGGGGATATAAACCTGGCAGCAGGCCAAACTATTAGTCTTGATGGCTCTGGTGATTGTATTTCGATAATGGCCATCTATTAATACTACTGGATGTTGAGGTAAAGAACGTCACTCATTGGCGAATGAAACGAAAGAGGTAATATCCAAGTGCTAGGTATTGAATGGTCATGATGATATTTCAATCGGAAGGAGGTTTGTGCATCTTCGCCTTGAACGCGCGTTTCACGTGGAATCCGAAGGAATTCTCAATGAGGAACCCCTGCTACTAGAGACTCCGTTGTAAAGGCAATCAATCAGTGCGGGGGGCAGATTGAGGCAGGTAGGCTGTTCAGGCACCTCGAGTTCAGTCATCGGAGGGAGATTATGTAGCAGCTCTGACAGATGCTTCAAACTGCAAAACGAACAGATTGAAATTGCATTGTGCCGAGTCACAAGCGAACACAATCACCAATTTACTTGAATGCGCCTTGCGTAAGTATGCTCGTCCAGTGATCGATGCTTAGCGACGACACACAAACATTGGCTGGTTACCTTGCACAACGCCGCTACTACTGTCTCAATAAACAGGTTTGATTGGGCGGTATTTGCATCTCTTTGCTCTCATTGGTAGGCTCTGTCAGTGCGCCCACTATTTGGGGACTTGTTGCCACGCTTCTAACAGACCCAATTGCGTGTTCACAATGGCCAGGCGACGTGACCCCACAGCGTCAACCTCCACAGTCAGACAACTACCCGCACAAAGCACTTTCTGCTAATGCGCTTCTCATGAACCACAACCACCGCTAGTCAATTAACGAAACTGCCCCTCAAGTTTGCCGATTGATTGAAATTTCCATTCAGACGTTACAAAACGCGTTTTAGCAAATAATGGAACCTGTCTATATCATTCAATTTAAGCGTCCAATTAAGCATTAAAAGTATCTTATTAATAACTTTCATTGATAAAAATGTGATTGGTTGGAGAAGGTGCAA